TCTCATTGTGCGAATAGCCAGCGGCCCTAACACAGGGAAGAGTTGCACTCACTTCAAACATGCCGCTTCTATTGCGATGAACTTCGTCAGGAATAGAAGCGACAGGAATCTGCTGCCTCACTGCGGTGTCTGTGAAGTAAAATGGCTTGAAATGGACCTTCGCCGTTCTCCACATCTTGGTGTGATCCACAAAAACCAGGCCGACCTTGTTTTATTGGGCTGAGGGTGGAGTTCTATTCATCCGTCAAGGTTGCATCCTCGTCCCCCGGGCCTTACGGAAATGAAGGAAATCGCGGCGAAGGTAAGTCATGACACAAACCACCGATTGGCTGGTTTAAAGTCCTTAATTTATAAGGTTTTTGTTAGTTTAGAATTTAGGATTACCTGTTGTGCATACGGGACCTGTATGCATTCAACGGGTCGGTCGTCTATCGCGCATGCCGCCTGGTTAGCCATTGATAAGGCGCAGCCATTCGAAAGATTGTCCCTCCACTTCGACCTTTTGCGTATATACATATAACGCTGAAGTGAACGGATCATGTTCATTAGCTACAAACTCGAAAATTCTTTCGCTCACAAACTGCACCCGTGCAGTGAATACCCCACTTCGAACGTATAGTTAAACATCATCGCTGTGTGGCGCTTTAGATATCACTGATTCGTGTCAACAATACTCCCAACACATGCATGTAGAAACCGTGTAGGTCGCCGGGGTCTATTTCAAAAACGTGACACAGATAAAGACGGAGTTCGACTGGATCAAACACTTAAAACACAAACCAAATTAAGGTTACGTTTGTAACTAAAATCCTACGAAGCCTTTCATGAATTCCTCATAGGTCACAGAAATGAAGAATCGAAAAGCCGTGGTAAATGTGATATCTGGTTATACCATTTTTTACCCTCCTTGTCGGGTGAATATTTCCCATCTGCTGAAAACCCTTGGCTCAACCTGGTAGTCGATTTAGTATTGCAGTTGCTTGCGTATTTTTATGAGCTCGAGATATTTAGTGGTTAGTCCGCCAACTTATAGCAACTCCCGTTGTTCGAACTCAACCTCTGTACAAACTGCTCCTGTATGGACGTGAACAACCTCACGGTATCTCACCCCTCATGCTTACTACGGATGGAATGGCAGCTAGGCACCAAAAGTTTGAACGACCATCGTTATGCCATTCTGTTTTCCGTCTTCGTGTTTATCCGAGTGACCTGATTGCGATGGCGTATATACATCATGTCTCTGCTGTCGTTTAAAAACTCCAGACAACTTGAAGTAGTTCATCATCCTGATCTTCATGGTTAACGTAGCAACAGAAGTGTTGAGGTGGTACAACAGTGAAAAAACTTTGAGAAGGATGCAAACGAAAATATAGGGCTTGTTGCGACATACTATGTGTCCTTAAGGAAAGTGGTCAGTTTAAGCTGTCATCATCGTCGACAGCGTGACATCAGTTTTCACCACTTGTGCATCGCTGCCATACGATCGTGATTTATTTGAATCTCCCTGGGGTGCGTATACCTCCAGACACTCATTCAGACAATCTAGATTAAATCTGACAAAAAGAACGCCATTGAAATCGATTGACATCCATATCTTGCAGCGTCTCCAACCAGGCGCAGTGGGGATCACGTGATCCAAATCCAGGAAGGCGAGTAACCAACAACGCCTGGACGTTCCGTATTCTCTTTCATGCCCCTCACCTATAACCACTGAAGTAATCACAGCTAAACTCGATTTTGGGTTTGGGCTCTGTCATTATTTTTGGCAGATTTCGCCGAATGGTGGACATGTTCCAGTCAGGTAGTTCAACTAGGCAATAACACCAAGCTTGCCACTGAGATCGGCTACATTCTGTATCCTGTAGGGTTTCGAAACTCGCAAAAAGAACGGCGTGAACCCCACCCAGAAAGCATGAAGATCCCACGTCTTCATTAGGCGTTGCCACGCCGTTGCCTGTTCTGTGCGAACCTTTCGTCAGCTAGTTTTTTGGAGTATCATACGGCTGTGGTAGACTGGTACTGGGCTTAACTAGTACATGCCTTGATTACGTTAGGCTGACAAAGTATATCTATCCACGTCATTGTCAGTAACGCCAGTGAGGAATGTTAATGTCTTGCTGTATGACCGTGTCAGTTTGTTTGGGTAAAGCCTTAAAATGGAAAGAATACATTTGGGGCCTAGGGTTGGTTCACTATAAACATTCCAGGTCCCTACGGCCCCAACGCTGTCAAACAGTCTGGATAGAAACGGACAGCATAATCATCGCTGATATCCGCTAGTGGACATTTCTTGCCTCCAGATAGATCACACATGGGCCAGACCCTAGAAGGCTTGCAGCACCCACACTTCTAATATCCACTAATCGCTTCCGTCGGTAGAAAAATAGTAGTTCACCAGTAGCACCCTTTAGGCTCCCAGTTGTCGTGACACCAGACGGAGGTATGAAAGCTGAGGTACCGCAAGGTTGCTGAAACCTATACAGGAGCAGTCGAGGATGGGTTCGATCCACGGTTCTTTGGATCGGTAAGTTTGCACCTCATCCACAGAATTTTCTCGAATTCATTCCCTTCTGTCAGGTCATATTTTGTCCAGCTTTTGGTCTCCGCGAATCCGGACTAGAAAGCGGAGCATGCAAATTTCTCAGGACTTGCAGTTTGGTGACGTCTGAGGAAGAAAGCACAGTCATATAACCCTTAAGTCGGAGTTTCTAAGTTAACTTTCCAATTCGGTCAAGAATCTGACTAAATAATATTAAGCAGCCAAATATATTTTCAAAGCGTTCAACCCGGCCATTCAGGCGTTCTTTGTTTATAAAGGAGTGGGCCATCTTGTCGTTCCTTGTTTCGATTGCTAGAGACGTATCAATTGAAATAGTTTTTGCTCACCAACAGAGCCCTACGATTTCTCCGTTTTTCAGCTTTCTGAAGTCACCAGGCTTCTCGACCGGCACAGATGCTTTTTTATTTGACCTCTGACAGTTCGTCGCATTGTACTGTATTCTCGATCAGAAACACCTGTTCGGGTCTAACAAGTTCAGAGCCGTGTTCGATATCCAGCTCTTAGATGTTGTTGGTTGTACTATACCACAAGCAGAGTGCCAAAGATCTCAGGGTTACGGATATCGCTTTTTAGCGACAGTCGACATCAAAAGGTGGATTGGCAGAAAACTTCAACAGGTGGTTTGGGTGAGTCTGCTTCCCACTATGGGCCTGGAAGATCCCAGTGGACAAGCAAGGGGGCGCTAAGTGAGACACCAACTGGTAATTGTGGGAGCGGAATCCACTTGGGCGTTCCAGAACAAGTGTTCGTCAACAAATGGTCTGCGAATGATGACGGCATGGTGTGGCTGCATTTGAATTTGGTTCGCTTGTGGAGGTAGGGCATCGGGTGTCAGAATGATTTCACTTGTTTCGGACGTTAGTAATTCACAGCAACAGTCGGTGCATTTGTACAGCAGGCACTCAGCGTTGTTCGATTGCGTCCCAGGATGGCCACCCGAGCAACCCTCAGGAGCGCTGTACTTATGCTTTCATATTGCCGGCAGCCTCACATAGAACTTTTAGCCCTCTCTACTGTTAAGCTCAGCGTCGTAAAAATGGTCTTTCAGAGTTAACCCTTTTCCACATGATTGCGCAACAGAGGTTTTTGAATATCATGCGCTGCTTGCGCTCACGCTTGTGGGTGCGTGAGAGTGATTGGGTAGTTCTTCAAAGGATTTCTTTCAATCAGTTGTGCCGGAAAAGTTGTCCACCTTCCATATTTGTCTAATTTAGTCATTAATGGGACGCTCTCTGAAAGATCTTCCAAACCCCGCTGTTCAGATTTTTCCGAGCGGGAACCTTGTCAAACTAGAATATGCGGGAAGCACATGAGAACTGGATAAGCTGACCTTAGTCATCCAGTCCTTCCGCATGTGCTTTGGGGTTACAAAATGCGAAGTCATGCTGCGGGACGCGCAGTCCTTTAAACATTCAAGGAGGAACACTGAAATTTCTGGAGCTCGGTTACCGTAATTTGTTTTCGTATTTCAGTTTCGGAAGCAGAACACTTGTCAGAAGTACGAGCTAATGCAGCTTGTTGGCCAAGTTGCTCACGATTTCACTATGACAGAGGGAGCAAGGTAGCGACAGAAATGATAGCATGCTATTAGTTACTGACATGCGTACAGGCTGCATCTACAAAGGGTGGTAAACGGAACAGGAGGAGAGTTAAGTACAGTCCACCGACAGTACTGTATTTACGCACCAATTTATCAGCTGCCGCCTCCAATGCGCAGCTACCTACCCACCCCCAAAATAATCGGTGAACGAAACTATGGCAGCTACAACCACTGTACGACAAGTACGCGGTTCATACAGCTGACAATGATGACCCGCTCTGTTGTATACAGCAAGCAAGGCAACCAGGCCAAAGCACCGCGCGATTGCCGATGTAGCATGAAATTATTGTGGTTCGAGTAGTTCCTGCTTGTGTGTGGGATTAGGTACCCAATATAGAGAGACGAATGGAGGTATCCAGTCGAAGTCTTTGGCTTAAAAGCATTGGTGGTTGGATTACCAAAGTAGTCTACAAGCCCCGATCCTCACCATAGAAAGGCAGCAGGTTGTGCTAGTTTAGTTTCTATTCATTATCAATGAGGCCCTGTGACCCTGACGTAGACAACTCACATTTCAGGCCAATGGATCACGGCGACCGTGATCCGCTGGTATGGTCCAAATCGCTATCTGAAATTGGGTCATTCTTAGGGCAGCGAAGTATTTTCCGATCAATGAGGTGATTGTCACTATTGTGCGAACAGTCCGCTATCACCAGAATAAAGCAGCCACTCGTTTGAGGATCGTGTGCACTCATGGGCTTTACGCAACTTAACGTGTTTTCGGTTTAAGTGCGCACCTAGCACGAAAGCAATGTAAATAACTGTTATTCGGTTCTTTATTTGCTGATTAGTGCTCATTCGGTTGCTCCGCAAAAATATGCGGGAGTAAACAGAATACACAGAAACTGAACAAAAATGGCTGCACTTATTATCTTCGATGCAAACATCTAAGTGGTATAGAATCAAATTCCATAACCTTGACTACTTTCATTAAGCCAGCTGCTATAGATGACAAATGTCATCGACAGAATGTACCGGTTCTGAGTGTAATTAAATCCCCTTCGTCCCTGAACGGAACCAATCTGCAAACGTAGGGCAGTGGTCTTTGGTGTACATTGGCATAGTCTTTGGTGTACATTGACATATATATATATATATATATATATGGAGAGAGAGAATTACACTTTGGGACTACTTTATCACATCTCTCCATTCTTTTCGTTACCACTTACTTTCGCCTTTTTCGCCTACTTTTTCAGTGTGATTTCGATAGTCTCCTTCAAGAGAGTAATTCGCGCTTGGTGGTGGTTGATTTCTTCGCCACATGGTGTGGTCCGTGCAAAGACATTGCTCCAAAATATGTCTCTCTTTCCGGGTCCTATCCTGGCGTAACTTTTGCGAAAGTTGATGTGGACCAACTTCCGGTGCGTAAGATGAACCGCAATAGCTGTTAGTCCTGTAACGTGCTCGTTTATTTTTTTCATTCCCCGTTTGTGCAGATGACGGTCTTTGAGGTTAGTTAGTATGCCGTTAGTCATTTGTGATTATGGGCCTCTTGTTCACTGTCCTGATTCAAATGTTTTCAGGGGGTTATCGGTTTCATTCACAGTTCACTGACTGGTTTACCTGTTCACAAGTACACTCGCGTCATTAGCTGCTTTGATGCTGTTGAACTACTCCGAGTGTCATTGCACATCACTTCTTTCGCCTCTGCTACTTTGCAGCATTTTGAGTTGGTGGTCGGTGGGTTGGGAGTACACGAATTTGTAGATCGAGCTTTTTTAACGGTCGATTGTGACCTGGTCTGGCTGTCTCGCTTTGCTTCGGCACCATGTGATTGGCACATTGGTGGTATTTATCCGAATTTCGCGTATACGCCCCCTACTCGTCTGCCTAGTACTAGGGGTTGCAGCTATTAAAACGAGGCCAAGGTCGCTTTGTGCAACTTTTGAGAACATCCACTGCGCCATGTTTCATTTACGTCAAGCATGTCCTGGTCCCAAAAAGATTCCAATTCCTCAGATACACCTCACAGCCGAACGGACTGTACATTAGTATCATTTATCACTGACCTCAGCGGTGCCTTTGTTTTACTTAGGGATTACTAGTAGCCTCATCCGAACAGGTGATAGGATACGTGCTTAAGCATCGTTTACCGAAAAGTGTACGTACTCTGGTTTCGCGTTATTCGAATCAAAGTGGATATACAGATGATCATGCAGTCCCCTTATGCGTTTGGTGCGATTTACTTACCACGAAGGGGGTGGTTATAGGGTGGAACTGTTAGTGAACATCGTTTACGTCTATTTCTCTGGCATAAATCAGTTTGCATGAATCAGTTTGCCCAGGGGGCTTTAAAAAGTCATTTGTCTCTGAAGATCGTCAGCGAGATTTAGTTATTACCCTACTAACCAACTCTTGTGAGGAGACTTGAACACTTGCTCTGGGGTATGGCCAAGCGACTTCCGGTAAAGTTAGAAGTGTGTTTAAATGTTAGCTGCCCGGGTGTGTTAATAGGCAGGTATAGCTAACCTCTCCTCAGAAGTATCATTTTTACGGGAACCGGTCAAAATTAGGCGCAGTAAAGTAGATCTGATCTTGGACATGTTAATCTGAAACGCTCGTTCGTAGCGCCATGTATAACAAATATCTCTTCATTCACATCAGCTTTGTCTCAGTCGTCTGTCTAATTAAAATAAACACACATGTATTTAATTATTGATGCCGCTGCAGTGTAACCCTTGTAGTGTACATCCGATACAACTTGGTTTACAGTAGCTTGTTATCTTGATAGGTAGTGTCGATATCAATAGGTCCCTGCAAGGTGCACGAGTAGAAAAATAAATAATCAGTGCCAAAGTACTTTTGGCAGTGTATCGATCGGTTCTTCGTGGCGAGATGTACCAATGCAGCCATCTGAAGAAAGGTCGACAATCGGTCCAAATACCTAAAGTGGTTGACCACGAAAGATCTATGGGCTAGATTGTGGTATCTTCCACACCCAGACAACAACTCAATCTGTGTGTAACGTTTGGGTTCGTTGCATTCTTCAGATATTCAGGATGGAGAATACTACAACAGGCTTGTGATTTGTTATGATCCGGTCGGACCGCTTGCCATCTCGGCACTTCCCCTGATGCAAAGAAGTTAGCTTGCTTTGCTTGCCGGTCGCTCTTGAAGGAGTTTTTGTAAGCTTTTCGTTGTGTTCTCACATGTCACTAGAAATGCGCAGTTGTTGTTAGCAGTGTTATTAAAACTGCTGATCAATTCCCTTAGGTCTGAATTTTCAGTTCCGCGCATACTCTTTTACGGTTGTCGGAGCACTCCGCACGATCTAATCCGTTTTTTTTTTCATTTTCAAGTGTAGTACTGAGGTATATTCGTCGATTGTCCCGTTTACATGTTCACCTCATAAAACAACTGAGCGGTACGTTATGTTTGCCGTTGGCGTACATACTGCCAAATATGTTCACTTCACACGGGCACCCAATAACTTCAATTACGCTTATTTTCAGGATTTGCCCGAAGAATATGGCGTAACAGCGATGCCAACATTCATTTTTTTCAAGAACGGCAAGGCTGTAGAAACTGTTCTAGGCGCTTCCATTGAGAAAGTTGAAGCGGCTGTTAAGAAGCATGTCTAAATCGCGAAGCGATTTCTAATCGCCCTTGTCTCTCTGTACACTTCGTCCAGAATACACGTCTGTTTCACACCGTCTTTTTCTCACTCCGGGGTTCGAAGGGCTTTGTGTCGTTGATGCCGTTCTGACAGCCTCCTTTGCAACTCAGATTTATTTTGACGTTAGACCGGTTCCATTGAAGTTGCGCTTACTGGACCCAGGACACTAAACATGCTAAAGTTTTACGACATTTTGATGTCTGACATCAATCAGTGCACTGTCGTTGGTTGTGGACTAGATACCGTTATATGGAGACGCCTTCTGTATACACCTTCCACTGTGGAAGCGGTCCTGCAGTTCGGATGGCTAGCAAGTTTGCTGAAAACTAGCACAGCGCATGACCGGTTACGCCCTTTTTGGGATTCATCAGCTGGGCGCTTTCCCCGAGTTTCCGCCCACTTTGTTGTACTCGAACTACACACATTTGCAAGCTACTTTGGTTTTTAACGAGAGACTGTTAAGTCCGGGTGAGTCTCGTTTTTCTCTGACCTTCAACTTTAGCTATCAAGTTGGTGGTGGGATGTGTAGGCCGTGTCATCCCCAGCCGAGTCAGGAGCTAGTTTTGGGTCGCCTCTAGGTCGTTTTTCGGGCTCATGGTGTCTCCCATTGTGACTGTAGGAATCTGTAGGGAAATTCCGGGATTGGTTGGTAAAGTGCGTTCTAAAAAGCCGTCGGTGTGTGAAACTGCTGGCTTACTTCCATGGGGTTGTCAGGATCGTTGGGCCGAAAACTAGAGAAAAAGCTTAAGCCGGCAGTCTATTCCTGCTCAGCTGGGCTTCCAGAACACCGGATGGTGAGTTTGGAGCTTCAAATCCTGTCTAAGGTGTACGCCTTTCTTTTCAAGAATGGAAAGAAAATCCTCATCTAATACTTGTCTACTTATTTGCTTCTATCTGGAGGAATAATACCGTCCCAAACAATTGAAGAGATTTACAAATGACACCTTTTAAAACCAGCACCAGGCGGATCTACTCTGTCGCAACCCCGTCATTGTCCGTTAATTTTCACTTTACCACAACACGCAGATTATCGCCAGGGACTCGTGTAAGCTACATCACAATACACCAGTTATAAATACTGGTGCTTGACTGCCATACACCCTTGATGACCAATGCCCTGGTAAGGAGTGAAAAGAAAGATGAGGAGTGGAGGCTTAGTACACAATCTTATCCTGGGGCCAGCGACCACGAACAAGGTGCCAACTTTTTGGCACAGAAACGAAAAAAAACGCATCTCAGCGCCACATAAGATGGCTCAGCTCAGCAGTTAGAGCGCGAATTTACTGATCGGAAGGTCCGTGGTTCGAACTCGACTTCACCGAAAGGTGTTACACCTGGGTTTGCAACAGCGCAACTTAGAATGTGACACCATCAATGGGATTGACCCGCAATCCTTTATGAGCTTAGCGAGTGGCTGCCATCTTAAAAGATTATGTGCCATGTCTCCAGGGGTCCCTAACCATGTGCAAGGACGCAGACCCTAACTAGAAGGGTGCAGAGATCTCAAAGTGCTCAGTTGGACGGTAACTGTCTTCATTTCGCGTCACCAAGTCATCCTATCTCCTACCAGCCTTCACCGACAAAACCTTCTAGTAGAAATAAGTTTTTTATGAGCTTCATTCGCTTGTCTAGCGGTTCTGCCTCGTCGCCACACACGCTTACCTACCATTTCATTGAGAACATGCTGCAACCAGCCAACACCTTTGATGCTGTGAAGGTGTTGGTGGTCAAGCATTTAAACCGTTTAACGTCCTATGATCGCAGATTCCAAGTTTCATGGCTGCTCTCACGGTTGCCTTATGCACCGCCCTCTGACTCAGAAAAATTCGTTTCTGCTGCAAATTTGCAAGTGTTTCCTCACGTCTTCATAGTGATTGCATTTACTTCGCCACAGTACGGTCAGATGAATAAACCGATAAACGTGCTTAGGGCACCTCTTGAGGTTCCAAACAGACTCAAGATATTGATGCAGTACTTTGTTCTCTGAAGCCCAATACGTACACTGAAAGATCTCACACCTGAACTTCTGTTTAGAGTAGCCTGTACTGACTGATTATGCTCTGATAGAAAAATGCCGTCTGCATAGTTCCAGTTTACCTCTACTTGAATGTAATTTTCGGTCCCTTGTATGTGTATTTCGTGATTGCAACGATGACACTTCTCATAAGGTTGTTGAAAACCCTTCGACACCCCAGGACCGGTTTCACCCTTCTTGGGCATCATCAGGTAGGCGCAGCCCCCTCCCGTCAGCGATTCCAAGTTTCATGGCTGCTCTCACGGTTGCCTTATGCACCGCCCTCTGACTCAGAAAAATTCGTTTCTGCTGCAAATTTGCAAGTGTTTCCTCACGTCTTCATAGTGATTGCATTTACTTCGCCACAGTACGGTCAGATGAATAAACCGATAAACGTGCTTAGGGCACCTCTTGAGGTTCCAAACAGACTCAAGATATTGATGCAGTACTTTGTTCTCTGAAGCCCAATACGTACACTGAAAGATCTCACACCTGAACTTCTGTTTAGAGTAGCCTGTACTGACTGATTATGCTCTGATAGAAAAATGCCGTCTGCATAGTTCCAGTTTACCTCTACTTGAATGTAATTTTCGGTCCCTTGTATGTGTATTTCGTGATTGCAACGATGACACTTCTCATAAGGTTGTTGAAAACCCTTCGACACCCCAGGACCGGTTTCACCCTTCTTGGGCATCATCAGGTAGGCGCAGCCCCCGAGTTCCCGTCAGCCTTTTGTTCTACTCGAACCCAAATTGAACAGATTTCTACAAATACTCATTTACCTATCAATTTGGCTTTGACGGGGGACTCACCTCGAACCAAACTGAATGTCTCGTTTATGGTGTCCCCAAGATGACGAGTCCCAAGAAGAGAAACCGGTCGTGGGCAGTCGATGAGCTTTCAGCAACCTTATGAGTAGCGTATTACGTCTATCCACTGTATCGCGCTATCGTCCCAACGGAAACATCACGCGTCCTGGTACCGTACATTCAGTTGCTTGAGAACAATAAACGAGAGATTCAGTTGGGTTCTAGGTGAGTATCTCGCGAAACCGAATTAGTTTGCAAATGAGTGTATTTCGCTCAAGAATTTCGTCATTCTTGGCAGTCGTAATGCTGGCGTTCACTGGAGCCGTTTTGAGTTAATTCTTGTCTCCGACTAACGTCTTGCCAATCAAACCAGAGTAGGTGCAGTTGCTGAGCACAGCAACATAACCGAAAAAGCTGAACTACTTCTAAAAGCGCATAAATCTCAGCTCGAAGACTCACCAAATTCGAAAGTTGGTTCTTTTGTGTGTCAGTTTGGAGGATTGGAGAAAGACGATCATCAGCATATCCTTTGACAACGCTCATACTTCTTTATGCGTGCCATTAAACGGTTTTCCGGCTTTTAGGGGAAGGAACCATCCTCAACTAGACTGTGTTCCGTATGGTTCTTCACAAGCCAGCCCATCACGGTAGAAAAGTGAACAATTTGAGCACAAGCCTAAATGAAAACCTTAGAATTGTTTTCAGGTACCGAACGCAGACCTAGCCACACATGCGAAAAACTCAGGAGCAAAACTGTGCAAGGGACCTGGAGACACCCAGTCTATGTTCTCCAATGAAATAAGTTCACCTTGCAATTTCGGAGTAATATGTACATGTATACTAGTAACAAAATTGCCTACGTGCCGTTGGTTGGTTGTTTATCGGTAGAGTCTCCAGGTGCAGTCATTTTGTGGTTGAGTTTTTTAGATTTCAGTTCAATGGGAATGTGTTTTTGGATTTCGTGGACGGTTTTCACTAATGTCGTTTTTCCCTTCATAAGATCTTATCCAATCCAAGGCTAGCAAATCAGTTAAGGTAGTCCCTACAATAGGGTATCCGTTGAGCCCGGCCCATATTGTCCTTCCCCCTTTGTCCGCCTAGGGCATGGTCTACAAAATAACCAGTTTTATGTGGCTACTGAACAAGCGCTAACTTCAGTTCTTCGAGATATCTGTTGTGCATGTCTGTATCTTACTACTGACTGTTTCCGGCAATCAGGTAGACTATGCTCGGTTGCGCACAACACACCAAAAGCGGAGTCTTTCAAATAGAGGCCTACCTACAAATGCGGCATTATGAATCAAATAACAAAATGTTGCAAACCTCGAGTCATGGGATCAAGCCGGCTTCTGTACGCCGAATTAAGTGCTGCTGATCCCCAATGTTTAAATAAATTAGGTTCCAAACAGTACGTATAAGCGGTGATCATAACTCAAGAAAAAGCGACCACAAGATGATGAAGTCTACGTGGCTGTATACAGTTAGGTGCGTGCTTCCATGGTCAAAGAACTGCTTGTGCTCAGGTTGAAAACAAGAGGAGGGAATATAGGCACTAAACAAGAAACCCCGTTGTACACAAGAATAAAAGAAAGGGATTGGCACTTACATCGCTCCCTTTCTGTTTGTTTCCTGGTAAAATGGGCAGTAAACGTGGGAAGCTACTGAAGACCGAAATGCCCCCAACTTCATCCGAGAATTCGGATGACTGAAGTGCGTTCTCTGAAAATTGTCCCTTGGTCTTCAAAAAATGTCAATTCACTAGCAAACCAAAGCCGGCACGTTTGTCAATTCTCACCTCCTGTACTCGAGCCCAACCCAATAATTAGTAGATATGTTTGCCGATAAAATTCACAATCACTGATCGAAAACGGATGAAGTTAGCCCACATTTTTGACACTTCAGTTTTTCCTCCCATGAATTTTCAAAACAGGCAATTGGTATTTTCACTCGAGTCTGTCGTATACAGCACCTTGACAGTCACATTTTGGCCGCTCCGAACCAGCTCTATGATATGTAGGAACCTTACGGCTTTCGCAGCTCCCTTCATGTACGCACTTTTTGTAGGATGTGCTGCACTGATTACTGTCGTGGCTAGACTCATTTGTCATACTTTTCTCAGACCCCACAGACTATTGGATTACCAGGACCCAAACAGCTATTCCTATAACTACTATTCTACTAAGCAAGGAACGAAAATATGCATACAGCGTCCTG